GAAATGTCCTAATTTCACTATCATATTTGAGGGACAGCTTTGCTGGATATATGATTCACGGTTGGCAATCTTTTTCTTTCAGAGTTTTGTATATGTCATTCCATTGCCTTCTTGTTTGCGTGTTTTCACTGAGAAATCAGAGCTTAGTCTTATAGGTTCTCTTTTTAGATAACTTTTCGTGTTTCCTAAGCTGCTCTCAGGATTCTTTGTCTTTGAGCTTGGAAAGTTTGACTATGATATGTCTTGGTGATTTTCTTTTAGAATCTATCCTTTTTGGGGTTCGTTCAGCTTCTTGTATGCTTATCTTCTCATTTTTCATGATGTTAGAGAAGTTTTCATCCAACAACTCTTTTACAGTTTTCTCTGTGCTTGTCTCTTTCTGTTCTGGAATTCTGATCGCCTTTAAGTTATTCCTCTTTATGGCGTCCCACATAACTCTTTGGCTTTCTTCAGATTTTTTCAATTGTTTTTTCTGATTGTTCTTCTAGCACACTAGTATTGAGAGAATTATCTTCAAGCTCAGTAATTCAGGCTTCCATTGCTTTACATCTACTCCTTTGCTCTTTCAATGTATTATCCATTTCTGAAATCTTAATGTTAACCTTCTGGATTTCTAATTGCAGGTTTTGTATTGTTTCAAATTTTGCCATTATTTTGTCTGTTTGTTCTTATAGTGATTTCCTTATTCTGTAAAGCTTTTATTGTGTCCTCCTTGCTTTTCTCCATCTTTCTATTAATCCTGTGAAGGTACATAATTATCATTCTTCTGAATTCTTTTTTAGTTAGTTCTATTATTGTTTCTTCCTCAGAAACGTCTTCTAGCTCTGCATCTTGATCATTTGTTTGAGCTATTCTTTCTTGTTTTTTCATGTGAGTTAAAATTGTCTGTGTCTCTGGGGCATTGTCAGGTTGTTGTATTTATTAAAACAAGCAGTGCAGTTGTTGGACCTGAGGAGAGAAGTCTCTAGGGGCCTCCTGAAATTTAAGGAACTCACAAAGTGATTGTGGAAAGGATATGACAGCAGAGTTCCTGGTCCTAGATGGAGTTCCTACTGGCCTCAGTGTTATCTGTGTTCAGGGCATTCAATTCGGAAGTAATTTGTGGGGTCCCTTGATGGAACTAGTTTCAGTATCTGTTAGGACCACAGGGAAGTTGAGGGCAGTGTGATTGGTTAAATGCTGGTCTAGTAGCTCTGAGGGTTTTGTAGGCCTGGAGCTGAGCCCACCTGAATGCAAGCCTCAAAAAGGCACACGAAAGTGGGGAAGCCAGCCCCCACATTACACTGGCATGGCTCCCAACCATGAGGCTCAGAACTAACAGAGCGTGGTCTGCTCTGGGAATTGGATGAGAGTGGGAGCTAGTCACACCCCTGGTCACCAGGGGAGGGTGGGTAAAAAGAAGAAATTGTACCTTTTCTGTTGCCCAAGAGAATCTGCTCTGCCAGGTCTCCCTCTGATACAAAGTTGCTCACAAGATGGTCCAGCTGCATCTGGCCAGCCGTTCACCAGTCAGTGGCCCTCTCGGCCTTCCCTGTTCAGTCTCTTTTCCCAGCAAGCACTTCATCTACCTCTCTAATCTTTCTACTGAAGTTCAGGGTGCCAGAATTTTCATTTGTTTCTATTTTATTTTGTCTCTCGTATCTTTGTTGTAGAGGGTCACTGTAGTGTGTATGCCTAGTCCACCATCTTGCCAGATCTCCCTTTTTAATCTTTTTTGTATCTCAAGAAATTGATTTAGTGTGGCGCTGTGGGTTAATACACTTAACTGCGATGTTGGTTTGACTGAAAGGTCGGTGGTTCAAGATCACCAGCCACTCCTTGGAAACACTATGCAGGGTCATTATGAGTGGGAACCCACTACCCACTGAATGACACTTAACAACAACAACAATACTAATACTGTGTCATTAACATAACAAATAAAACCCATTCCCTAAGGAGCTCTGGTAGCTTAGTGGTTACAAATCCCCCTGCTAACCTCAAGGTCAGGTTGGCAGTTCGAAACTGCCAGCTGTTCTGCGGGCGAAAGATTAGGCTTTCTGCTCCTGCAAAGATTTACAGCCTCGGAAACCCTGTATGGGATCACTATGAGTTGGAACTGACTCCACGGCACATAACAACAACAACAACAATGGGATTATAACCACAGATACAGGGATTAGGGTTTACAATATAAATTTTGAGAAGACACAATTCAATCCAAAATTTACTTTCTAGTCATTGATCTCGCTGGTCTTCTCATTAAACACAACAAATTGGTACAGTAGGGAGCAAGGTGGCTCCTTAGGATAAGCACTGGACTGCAAACCATAAGGTTAATGGTTTGCACCTGCCAGCTGCTCCGCAGAAGTAAAAATGAGGCATTCTGTTCCTCCAAAGATTTAAAAGCCTCGGAAACCCTATACAGTGTCACTATTAAAGAACTGACTCAAAGGCACTTAACAACCACAACAACATTGGCCAGTGGCAACAGCAACAGGTTCAAGTGTAATAACAATTGTAAGGATGGCGTAGGACTTGGCAGTGTTACCTTGTGCATAGCATTGCTATGAGTCAGAGCTGACTTGATGGCACCTAACAACAACAATCTGCCTTAAAGATGTGGATTAATTAAAGAAACACTATTTATGAAGTATTTTGTAAATTATACAAATGGGACCTATAATGTTGGTAATCAGATGCAAACAATAAAGGTTCTTTTAGTTGAGGAACCCCATGGTACAATGGTTAAATACTTGGCTACTAACTGAAAGGTGAGCAGTTTGAATCCACTAACTACTGTTCTGAAGGAAGATGTGGCAGTGTGTTCATCTTTAAAGAGTGCTATTGTTGTTACGTGCTGTTGAGTCTGTTCCAACTCATAGCCACCCTTGTAGGATTTCCTAGGAGCAGTTGGTGAGTTTGAACTGCCAAACTTGAGGTTCAAACTGATCTTGAGGTTCAAACAGATCCTGCAGTTCAAACTGATCTTGTAGTCCAGTGCTTAACTACAGTGCTACACCAGGACTACAACCTTGGAAACTGACTCTAAGGCAACAGGTTTGGTTGTTTTGCTAGTTTGTTTTTGTCCCTCTGTTAGTTAAAAGTCAGTGAGTGTGTACAGGATGACCTCAAAGATGTTGTGGGCTTGGTTCCAGAATACCACAATAAAACAATTACTGCAATTAAACAATTTTTTTTGTTGCTTTGTGCATATAAAAATTATTTTTACACTATACTGTATTTCTGCTCCCGTAAAGATTTACAGCCTTGGAAACCCTATGCAGAGTCGCTATAAGTTGGAACCGTTTGTTGTTGTTGTTGTTAAGTGCCGTCGAGTCGGTTCTGACCCATAGTGACCCTGAATAGGGTTTCCAAGGCTGTAAATCTTTACGGGAGCAGAAAGCCTCATCTTTCTCCCACGGAACAGCTGGTAGTTTCGAACGGCTGACTCATAGCGACCTGTAAATCTTTATGGGAACAGAAAGCCTCATCTTGCTTTGCGTTCAACAGTATTATGAAAAAGTTTGAAAAATTGTGAGAAATACCAAACTATGACACAAAGATCCGAAGTGAATACATGCTATTGGGAAAAATGTGCTGACAAGACTTTCTCCATGCAGTGTCCCCACAACTTGTCGTTTGTAAAAAAAAACTCAGTATCTGTAAAGCACAATAAAATAAAGTATGCCTGTATACATAACTGCTGTTTGTCAGTAGAAGAAAGCACAGATTAGGGCTCAGATATAAGAAGATTGCGCGATTTTCCGCCAGCTGAGTCAAGGCTCAGTCACTTAACTTGGATCAACTGATTATTTACTCCCCGCCTAGGTTGGGTAACCTGGGCTTCGCAATCTTGTGCTAAGAGAACCCTCTCCTAGCTACATTCTCGGAATCTTCCCTCAACTACCTTACATTTTTCGGCTGTATTCCCTCCCTTTTGAGCGGCGGAACCCAATCACTGCCTGACAAATAAATATTCCTGCCCTTTTCCCTGCCTCCTTCTCTGGTTATCTACTTTGCTCAATTAGGGCGGAGCCTGCCTTGGGAAAGTAATTCCATTGGCTCGCTGCCCTGCCCCTCAAAACCTAAAGGGAGGCTAGAAAGTAAGACGCCTGGGTAAGTTTTAAACTAGTCTCTTGACTCTTTTATTTTCAGCCCTACCGTAAAAGCTTGGACTAGAGAACAGGCATTGACGTGTCTTGTGCTCCAGCCACAGCCATTTTTATCCTTCCCTGAAGAGTCACCAAATCCTCAAGAATATTAATTACAGTTAGGAGAAACTGGTGTGCGCTGTGGGTTAATGCGCTGGACTGCAAAGTCCGCTTGAACCTCAAGTTCGGCGGTTCACGCTCAACAGCCGCTCCTCCACGGAAATCCTATGCAGGGTCACTATGGGTCGGAACTGACTCCGAGCAACAAAAAGGAGAAACTGGTGTGGATCTGTAGGATAAACAATGGACCTCGCAAGGTCGGTTTGAACCATAAGATCCGCGGTTCAAACTCATCTCGTAAACCTCGTAAACAGGGTCGGTAGCTATTCTACGGAACTTAATAACAACACCAAGGAGAAACTGAGGCAAAAGGATGTGGCTACCTATGTTTCCCTTAAATCCGGTTTGTGCATTTTTCAGCCTCTTTATCTCCTCCCTGCTGCCAGGTAGAGCGCCCCTACCGTAGCTTCTGGCTAGGTGCACTCCACTTTCCGCTGTAAGGCTGGAGGCGGGGTTTGGCAGGGCCAGTCCAGGATGCAAGATCCTGGAGGAAAGAAAAGGTGTAGTGTTTGGGGCCGTCAGCGACCTAGGCTGACTTGGCACGGCTGGACTTTCTTCGGAACAGGTAATACCCAAGGGGGCCCATTCGTCTGAATCAAAGAGATAAGGCCAGAGGAGAGATCTCCGGGTGACAATGAGGGGGTGGGCTGGTAAACGAGGGGGGTAACGGAGGAGGAACCTAGAATTGAGGTGGGGGACATTATCCTCCTGCAATTTCACCTCCCCCACACTCTTCCTCACAGAAGGATGAACCTTGGAAACTCTGACTTGCTGGACGTATGGCTGGAGCCCCCAGAAGATGTCTTCTCAGCAGGATCCTTTCTGGAATTGGGACTCCACTGTCCCCCTCCAGAGGTCCCAGTGACTAGGCTACAAGAACAAGGCCTGCAAGGCTGGGAGCCCAGTGGGGGCCATGGCTATGTGAGTGTGATGGGTAGGGGTATTGAAAGCCCCAAGAGGCTTTGGAATCCACTTGGACAGAGGTCAGGAGAGCCCCCCAAATAAAGAGTTGTAACTAACCCCATGCCCAAAAAGAGAAGGGGTGGAAAACTGAAGCATGAGGGATCTAAGTTTGATGTCAGGTTCTCAGTTGCCTTTTAGTTGATTCCACCTCATAGCGACCCTGTACAGGTTTCCAAGGCTGTAAATCTTTATGGGATTCATAACCACTATGTTTCCAGAGCTCCTTATAGCGACTCTTGAGAACTGAGTAAAAACAGTCCCATAGAGTTTCCAACATTTTAAGTGGAAGCTGACTACTACGTGCAGAGTGGCTCGTGTGTTCAAACTATTCAGTTAACAGCGAAGCTCTTAATTACGGAGCAACCAGAACTCCCAAAATTCTTCCCTGAATACATTTAAATCACTCTTTTCTACTGTAGGGTCTTCAAGAGAGTGAGCCTGAAGACTTCCTGAAGCTTTTCATTGATCCCAATGAGGTGTACTGCTCAGAAGCATCTCCTGGCAGTGACAGTGGCATTTCTGAGGACCCTGGCCATCCAGACAGTCCCCCTACCCTCAAGGCCCCCAATTCTCCTGCCCTCTATGAGGTTGTCTATGAGGCAGGAGCCCTGGAGAACATGCAGGGGGAAGCTGGGCCAGCTGTAGGGTTTATTTCCATTCATCTAGGTTAGTGTTCTCTGTGGGAAGGGGACAACATTCCTTTGGGCATTCCCCTGGTCCTGATTAATGGGTTTTCCCCAACCTGTGCCCCTGTCCAGGCCCTGTTGCCATTAGGGGACATCCTCCAACTCTTTTCCCCTAGCCACTTGTGTCTCCCTCAGATCAGTGGAACCCTCCATTTATGTTGCCTGATGCCTGCATGGTCAGTGAGCTGCCACTTGATGCCCATGCCCATATCCTGCCCAGAGCAGGCACCATAGCCCCAGTGCCTCCTGCCACCCTGGTGAGTCTCGAGATCTGCTGGATCCAGTGACCCCTGATACACACACGTATACCTACACAGAGAGGGGAATGATAGAGGGGGAAGCTGATGATGAACTCCACATTTGTCGAATTTTTGTGGTATAAGAACTGAAAACTAGGAAGACAAACATGAGAAACTTTAGAAGTAGGAAAGGTCAAGGGAGAAAGAAGTCCTTGGGGGTAAGGTGATGGTGACTCAGTTAAGAAGGTGGGGTAAGAGAATCTGGGGACAGGGCTGGGAAGCAAGCTGAGACTTTGTGAGTACTGTATACTTAGCCCGAGCCATTGTCTCAGCCTTAGGTCTGGACAAAGAAATAGGACAAGCCCCTTGGGAATTGAACTGGTTGCTGGGCACAGGGTGAAAGAGGAGAAATAACTACAACAATGTTTCCACTGGAACACTGTCCCAGCAGGCACCCACTCTAGGAACACAGAGTAGCCCAATGACAAGAATACAGCTAACCGCCTCAGATACCAAGGCTGACTGAGTTGGTTCCTGTAGAGAGGGTGGAGAGGGAGCTGTGCTCAGGTCACTATTTCTTCATTTTCTGCTTGAGCCCAAATGACAAGGAGCAGGTTTCAACCTTTGTGAAAATGTGTGGCAAAGCCAGAAAAAGAAGTCAATCATCTTGGAATCTAGAATCTTGGGGTGAGGGAACTTAAAATGCCTGATGCTTCTAAGCTGGAGCGTACATCAGAAGCACCTAAGGAGCTTGTTGTTACAATAAAACCCTCTACTACACGTTAATTGGGTGACTGGGAAGGCAATACACAAGAGGGAAGTTGGCAGAGGAAGGATGAAGGTAGTAGAAGACACTGGAGGAATCTAAGAGTTAAAGTGAACAGAGATAAATACTGTTAACTGATGGTACATGGAGGGGATTGCTATCATTACAAAGAAACAGCTATATGATTTATTGAATGTAAAACTGATGGTCTGCTCTGTAAGCCTTCACATAATTCACAATAAAAAGTTTAATAAAAGAAAACCCTTTAGGCCTCATTTGGAGGTTTTAAATAGGTGGCTAAGGAAGATCACCCCTCTTATATTTCCAAAAAATAGATGCAGGAACAAGTAGGGAACATAAGGAAAAGACAAAGATAGAAAAAATGGCTTAGCTAAAAGCCAAAGACCATCAGGAGTCAAAAGCCAAAGCAAATTCTTCTCTCTTCTTCCTTTTTTAAAAATGCTTTATTGTGAAGTGGTTAAAGGTTCACATAGCAAATCAGTTATCCACTCAGCAGTTTGTACATATTTTGTTTCATATCTGCCTTAGTTATCTAGTGCTGCTATAACACAAATACCATAAGTGAATGGTTTTAACAAACAGAAATTTATTCTCTCAGTTTGTTGTTAGGTGCCACTGAGTCGGTACCGACTCCCAGCAACATTATGCACAACGGGATGAAACACTACCTGATCCTGGGCCAACCTCACAATTGTTGCCACGCTTGAGCCCACTGATGCTGCCACATTGCCAACCCATTTTGCTGGGGGTCTTCCTCTTTCCTCTGACCCTCAACCTTACCAAACATAATATTCTTCTTCTCCAGCAACTGTTCCCTCCTGACAATATGTCTGAAGTATGAGAGACGAAGTTTGGCCATCTTGGCCTCTAAGGAGCACTCTGGCTGCACTTCTTCCAAAACGGATCTATTGGTTCTTTTGGCAGCCCATGGCACTTTCAATATTCTCCTCCAACACCATAACTCAAAAGCATCAATTCTTCTACGGTCTTCCTTATTCACTGTCCAGCTTTCGCATGCATATGAGGTAATTGAAAATACCATGGCACACCTTAGTCCTCAAGCTGACATCTTTGCTCTTCAACACTTTAAAAAGGTCTTGTGCAGATTTGCTTAATGCAATACATCCTTTGATTTCTTGACTGCTGCTTCCATGAGTGTTGATAGTTGATACAAAAAGAATGAAGTCTCTTTTCTCCTTTGATAAAAATGTTCTTTACTGGTCCAGTGGTGAGGGTTTTTGTTTTCTTGACATTGAGATGTAATCCATACCAAAGGCTGTGCTCTTTGATCTTCATCAGTAAATGTTTTAAGTCCTCTTACCAAAGGCTGTTGTTGCTAAGTGCCCTCGAGTCAATTCCGACCTATAGAGACCCTGTATAGGGTTTTTGAGGAGCAGCCGGTGAGCTTGAACCGCTGACCTTGCAGTTCAAATGGCTTTGCAGTCTGGCGCATTAACCCACAGCGCCACACCAGGACTCCAGACCTAAGGTTGTAAGAGATTAGAAATCCAAATTCAGAGTGCCAGCTCTAGTGGAAGGCTTTATATGTCAGCTTTGGGGAAAGGTCCTTGTCTCCTTTCAGCATCTGTTGTCCCAGCATTTCTGGGAAATCTCCCTGTCTTGGCATCAGTCTCCTCCTGGATCTAGAAGTTTCACAGTGCAGGGACCCTAGGTAAAAAGGATGTACTCCACTCCTGGCTCTTCTTTCTTGGTGGTTAAAAAGTCTCCCTCCACCTTCTCTGCTTACTTCTCTCCTTTTATCCTTGTAAAACAAAACAGATGTTTTGGGCCACATCCCTGGGAAACCCCCTTACATTAGATCAAATTTCTGATGGGATTAAGGGTATTACAGCCCACCCTAATCCTTTTATCACATCATGAGGACTCATCACATAAGTACATCATTGCATAACTACCAAACCACTGAACATCATGACTCAGTCAAGTTGCCACTTTTTTTTTTGGAGGGGGGGATACATAATTCAATCTATGACAATTGTTATTGATTGCAATCCCCACAATGCAACATCACTTATCTCACTTCCTCCTGGTGTTTCCTTTCCTCCTTCTTTCTGAACTTTGCCCTTGGATAAATGCTGCCCTTTGACTGCAAATGGTAGATTACTATGAGTGGTACCTCCCTAGTGTTATTGTTCCCCTTAACATTTATTTCTTGCTTGACTGAAAATTGAGCCATGGGGGTGAGTTCAATTCTGGACCTGAAAAGTGACTAAGAGCCATAGTTTTGGGGGTTCCATCGGATTTTATCTGGCCAGTAAGCCTGATCCTCTCTATGATTTGGAGTTTTGCTCCACATTTTTCTCCACTTTATCAAGGACCTTCTAATATTCTTTTCAGAGAAGTGAGTAGTGGTAGCCAGGCACTCTCTAGTTTTCTGGTCTCAGGGTCATGGAAGTCCATTAGTCCTTTGGATGAGAATTGTTTCCATGTGTCTTCAATTTTCTTCACTCTTCTTTCATCTGGAAGGGTAGAGACCAATAGCATCTTGGATGGCCACTCACAAGCTTTTAAGACCCCAGTTACTATTCACCAAAGTAGGATTATATTATACCAATTGATGCTGGTATCCCCATGATCATGGTCCTGAGCTCCCAGGCCCCAGGACTCAGTCAGTCAGTCAGTGTTCGGTTGACAGGTGATTGGATAACACATTTGCCAAGCAGAAGTTCATCACTGAAAGTGTATCATTTGCTAGCTATGAGATTAAACACATTCCATCACAGTGAGTTCCTTCAGGTCCTCCTCATATCTCCCTATAATGTTTGGGGAGACTCAGACTACAGCAGGTCCCCTAGATTTCGCAGCTTGTCAAGGACCTGAGTCTATGAGAAAAGGATATGATTCCCTTTTCAGTCTCTGGTCTCTTTAGCTTGAGGTGGTGAAGAGGATCCAGTGCTTGTCATGACCTTGGGGTCCATCACCTCACACCCAGTACAAATGGGAAATACTCTCCAGAAGGCAGGTAAGGAAGTAGCTTGGGTGCTATATGACCCTCTCTTCCCATTCACGTCTCATTTTCTCCTGTCCCCTACAGCTCCCATGTCAAACCTTGTTCCTAACAGATGAAGAGAAGCATCTGTTGGGTCAGGAAGGGGTCTCCCTGCCCTCTCACCTGCCTCTTACCAAGGTAAGATGCTATCCCAAGCCAAGACCCCACCATGGCTTCTTAGGCCAGGATTCCAGAAAAGAATGGGAGTTCGGGGAGGTAAAGGACGTAGGACTGACATACCATGGACTCCCAGGCAGAGGAGAAAGTCCTCAAGAAGGTCAGAAGGAAAATCCGTAACAAGCAGTCAGCTCAGGACAGTAGACGGAGGAAGAAAGAGTACATCGATGGGCTAGAGAGCAGGTATGCTTGAACTCACATTTCCAGCTTCCTAGGGGCCAAGTTTGGGGCCCTTTCATCACCAAGACAGACAGGATCAGGGCTCACATGATTACTAAGTTCTTTCCCATCTTTCCATATCACCTAGAGTGGCTACCTGTTCTGCACAGAACCAGGAACTACAGAAGAAAGTGCAGGAGCTGGAGAGACACAATATGTGAGTGAAAGCTTAGTATGCATGAGCAGTGAGTTTGTGTGCTGAGAGGGAATGCAGCACACTGGGGTCCCAATCCTGGGCACTGGTTCCCAGGAGATACTGACTCTTCATTTCTCCTTTTCCAGATCCCTGGTGGCTCAGCTCCGCCACCTGCAGACACTCATTACTCAAACCTCCAACAAAGCTGCCCAGACTAGCACTTGTGTTCTGGTACCATCAGTCTATCCATTTCCCTTCTCCCCCACACTCCCACCCAGATACCTCTACTTTCCAGCCACACCTATCTTCTCATCCCTGATAATTCAAAATCCCCTAGTTCTATCTGCTCTCTGCTCCCTTCCTTTGCTGTCCCCACAGCCTAAATGTCCTCTTGCTTCTTTCCAGATCCTTCTTTTTTCCCTGGCTCTCATCATCCTGCCCAGTTTCAGCCCCTTTCAGAATCTACCGGAAGTTGGGCCTGAGGAGTACCAGCCTCATGGAGGTGAGAGGCCAGGGCAGAGAGGACATGATGAGGATGTGTTCTCCATAGTAGTCAAGAAGCAGGAGGGAGGTCCTTGGACCCAGTGGAGATTCTACTACTGTCCTTTTTCTTTCACCCCACAGTAATTTCCAGAAATATCCTCACTCACAAGGACATGCCAGAAAATTTGGAGACCCTATTGGTAGAATCCAGACTGGGAGGACCACCTGAGAACAAGCGTGCAAATGGCTCAACAAAGACATGGCTTGAGAATATGGGAGGAAAGACAGATCCCAGCAGGCTCCTCAAAACTGTGTTGCATGCAGATGAGATGTGAGCTGGAACAGGGACCACACTCCTTCCTGGCCTACTTTCCAATTACAACAAAGCACTCCATGTTCTGCCTCCTCCTGGGATTCCCACTCAGGGGTTTGAATTACTTCAGGATTGCCTCTGTGAGGAGGGCAACTCAAATACTATTGTTATGTATCAGTGGTGATTTCTTCTTCGGGGAGACGGATGAGGGAAACAGAAATTTCAGTTGAGAAATAAACTTGTTACTTGAAATTGTATCCAGGAAGTTCTAAGTTAGGAGAAGTGTGGGACTATAGGTACTTGGTAAACATGAGTCTATAGTTATCACTCCCTTTCCTTCTCTGCCCTCCATGCCTGCCTTCTTCAAACCAAATTGCAGCAGAAAAGGAAACTATTTTACTCTTTTTATTCTGCTTATTAATGATATGTAAGAACATGGAGAAAGAGAAAGTACCATGCCAAGATTCCAAAGAACCAGGGGCACAAGTTAGCCTATTCCACTTTCTCTATCTGAGGTGTGGTTTCTGAGTCCAAGATAAAAGGGTGGAATGTGGCTATATGGATTCAATTTGCTTTCGGACTTTTTCCAGAGCCTTTCTGTCCAATAGTCGCTGACGAAGGATGACAAGACAAGCGAAGACCAAGGCCACGCCCACGACAGCCCCTTCAAATTTCCAGAACAAGTGTTGTTCCATCATTGCTGAGCGGCAGCTGAGGGCAGGAAGGAAAAGTTATTTCCAGAAAAAGTCTGCCAGTTTTCCCTCTAATACCCTTTCCATCTCAATCTAACCAAGATACACCCAAAAAGACACCAGAGTACATAAATTCCTTTCAAATTAATCACCTAATTTATCTACTGGTGAGGCAAGCATTAACTGATTTTACTGATGAGAAAATACGACCAATATCATAGTGCTAAGGAATAGTGTTTGGACTTATGCTAAAGTAATAAGACAACAAATCTGTGCTTTTCCCAATATGCCGTGCTGCCTCCAGGCCAGAAGAGGTGGAGCCATCTGCTTAGTTATGGGAGCACAGGTGACCTCCAAGGTTTTGAGAGAAGGAAAACAACACTTGCCTTTTGAACTCATTCCTCTTAGATGAGCTACATGTGATTTTTTCCAAATAACCAGTGGAACTGCACTCAGGGATGGTTTTCTGCAAGGGAAAAGGACCAAAGGACATGTCAGGAAAGGGCAGCAGGTGGGCAGCAGGAGAAACAGAAAGGTGTCCATTCTGAAGGGGCAGGTGCCCAGAGCTGGTATGAGCCATATGCTATGGCTCAGAGCTGGTAGGCAACAGAGAAATAATGTAGAGTTCTGATGAGGGTGGTAGAAGTGGTGGTTATGTGATTACGAATGTGTTTTACTTCAAGGGTGATAATCTAGGAAAGGAGGGAACAGATTAAAGAGTCTGCTGGAGTAATAACAAATACAACATGGTTATCAGATGAATAATGCTATTAATTTGGAGGAAAGAAAGGGGGAAGACAAAGTCAAATTTGGACCTATACTGAAACTGCAAGGAGAAAGAAGGCAGGACTGTCCAATGGCACTCAATAAGAGTTAGGGTTGGATGATATGAGAAATAAGGAAGACAAAACAGATACTCACAGTCTGGAAATTAGAACATGGGGCACATTCTTCTGCCACTACAAACTCTTCCACCAGCCAGCATGGTAAGTTTGAGGTGCTCACTAAAAGAAGAGAGAATGCCAGCCACTGGGTATTTAGGAAAAATATCTCTCAAAGGCACTGCCCAATCAACCTCCCTCCCATCATAACGAAAGCCCTCATTCCATGTGGTGCTGCCCTTTCCACCGGGGCTTTTGGGAAAGTGGGAGGATGTCAAAAACAACAACTAGGGTGGGTGACAGGTTCCCAGACCACCACTGACCTGACTGCTTCTCCTCTTGAACTGGCGCTTCGGCTTGGCTGTAGGGGGTAAAGGGTCGGGAGGGGGAAAAGTCAAAAGCCAGAAACAGAGAGCCCCCAACCTCGGGGGCGGGGATGATTTGGTCCACTGGTCCCCTCCCTTTCCCTCTCCTCAGCATCTCCTTACCAGAACTTTAAGGCGAGGGCTAAAAACAGCCAGCAGAGGCGGCGGCCCTGGGGGAGGCCAGGCCTCCCCGCGCCCGCAGGCATAGGGTGCTCAGGGTCGCATCTGTCGGGACATAGGGAACCGCTTGATTGGCCTCCAGCCTCCTTCAGGTCGCACTGAGGCCCTCCCGGAGATCCCAGGTCAGGACTGCGGCATTCTGGGATGGCCTATCAGGGCAAAGTCTCTATCGGGACGTCCCCAAGGCCACAGCGAGAAAAGTTACTATACATTTGTTAGAATGGGACGTGAGTTCCCCTCTCCGTAACCCTTAATCTCTTTTAGGACACGTCCGAGGGAACACCCGCGCCTAGGACCCCCTCACCTCCAGTTCCGCTCTTGCTGGGGCCATTTTGTTTCGCAGGGAACTCTGGGGCTCTAAGTGCGACCGCGGGGTCCGGTTTTTGTGAGCGAAGCCGATCGTTCTAGGTGGTGGCGCGCTAATTGTCGCTTGCTGGGTTTTGTAGTCTTTAAAGGCTGGCAGCACTTCGCCCGCTGCTCACTGGGAACTGGGCTTCACAGTGTTTGTGCTGTAAGAGGTGACTCATTGGCTTGGAGCACCGTTGCATTATGGTCCCGGTAGTCTTTTGCCAGAACGGAGGAAATGGCGGTGATTTAGTTTGTCTGGGTTTTTAGTTCTTTTCTCCCTGGATTGTCGCCTCAGTTTGTCCATTCTGGGTCAAATGAGCAAGTAGACAACTCGACTTCCTCCTAGGACTTTCCTCCTTCCTTAAAACCCTATTATTCTCATTAAGTTTAAGCTTCTCCGACACCCTTTCCCATTTTCCGTCCTCGCCCCTTAAGACCTAGTGGAGAGTCTGAGTTGGCGGTCAAGGGATGGAGGGAAAACTGACTGGTGTGGCGCTGTGGGCTAATGCATCAGACTGCAAAGTCGTTTGAACTGCAAGGTCCGTGGTTCAAACTCACCAGCTGCCCCTTGGAAACCCTATACAGGGTCGCTATGGGTCAGAATCGACTCGACGGCACTTAACAATAACAACAGAAATGGGAATACCTGAGACACATGGGGAACGCTAAACTTTCTGTCTCTGGGTTACTTCTCCATTCTATACACACTTCTATACACACTAAAGATGTCACTTTGCCTCGTGCTAATTATTAACCCACTCTACAGAGATGGTCCATTGAAGAACCTCCCTAAATTTTCAGTTCTCCTTTGCTACTGTATAACATGGATACAAAGTGCAATGCAAACAGCAAAAGATATGAAGTCTCAGGAATTATTGAGCCCAGGTTTAGGTGCTCATTATTTGACTTTAGGACAATATATGCCTCACATTGTTCCTGTGCAAAACGGAAACAGTAATTTTCTAGAGTGTTTGGAGTCCTGATGTGGCACTGTAAGATAAGCACTGGACTGCTAACCACAAGGTCAGGGTTCAAACCCACCAGCAGCTCCTTGGAAATCCCTAGAGTCGCTATGGGTCAGAATCCACTCGACGGCACTTAACAACAACAACAACAATGTATTAGTTACTAATTCTGCCATAATTTTCCTCCTAATTTAACATGTGTGTGTGTACAGCCTCCCAGATAAATGGACTGTATGAGTTTAGTTTTCTTGTTATGTCTGGTTGATAGATTAAAACAACAAAACAACCTGTTGCCTTGGAGTCAATTCCAATTCTTGGAATTGAGTTGTGTAGAGTAGAACTGCTCCATAGGGTTTTCTTGGCTATGCCAACCTTTGGGGTAGCAGTCGATAGAAAATTCCTTGCAGGAGGTACTTAAACTTCATATAAATATGAGCATTAATAAAATTATCTGCACCCCCATCTCTCAAGATCAAAGGATTTGTCCTCATACTTTAGTTTCCCAAGTCCTAATACTGTTTCCTTATTAATCCTGCTCCACATTTTCCTCCCCTAGAAGTGGTACAAATGGCTAACATGCTTAGCTGCTATCCAAAAGGTTGTAAATTTTGGTCAACCAAGAGGTGCCTTGGAAGAAAACCTTGGTGATCTATTTCTGAAAATTAAGCCATTGAAAATCCCGTGGAGTACAGTTCTATTCAGACACATATAGGTCATCATGAGTCAAAACCAACTTGACAGTTCTTTCTAAACTGAAGACCACTAAGATCCTTCTCCCTTACAAGAGCACTTAATTTGGGGATAAATAGTATATCTTGAGGTGTGTCTCATCTTCCGAACAGCCCAAAGCTAGCGTCTCAAGGGCAGGAACTATCAGACTGTGGACAGACCATTGGGTAGTAGCTGGGGGAAAAAAAACAATGCAAAAAACCTAGTAAGAGCTAAGTTTAATTTTACTTTTTTTAATTTACTTGTTCCTTAAATTTTCTTTTTATTATTTATATGTACAAGTCAATATTTTTATGTCACAAAAATTTGTTGTAGTTTATTTTCAGTATTTTAAAACTATAACAAAGATTTTAGCTGAAATCTGCTAGTATATTGTACTACAGTGACCCCATGTGCATAGAGTACAGCTGTTCCAGAGGTTTTTAAGGGTTTGAAATAGATGGCCAGGCCTTTCTTCAAAGCCACCTCTGGATGAGTTGAAACCACCAACCTTCCAGTTAGTAGTAGAGCACTTACCTATTTACACCACCCAGGAACTCAAGTATTCTGTTATTGTTGTTATTAAGTGCCTTCGAGTCGATTCTGACTCATAGCAACTCTGTGTAGGGCTTCCAAGGAACAGCTGGTGGGTTTGAACTGCTGACCTTGTAGTTCACAATCCAGTGCTGATCCTACAGCGCCATACCAGAAGTCCCAGTATTCTGTTACTCCTTACCAAGTCCTACCTAGTCTCATGACAAGCATGAGATCTTGTAAGAGCATATTTCCAGTAATCTAAGGGTCACTATGAAACTGGACTTGACAGTTACTGCTCTGGGTAGAATATCAGTTGGTTTCCTGAATCATAAAATGCAAGTTTTTCATCATCACTTGAGCAAATCAAACCAGTTGGACACTTCATGCATTTATCAAAATATTTACAACTCCTTCTCCTAACACTGTTTGACTTTTTTTTCTGAGTGTTGTTTTTACCAACAGAAACAGCAGTACAAGAATGGCTTTGCTGCTGACTCTACGATTGTGCCATCTACTTACACGCTACAGTTGGGAATTTCTTAAATGCCTTGAACATTATATCCATGAATAAAACTTCTTGTGACACATTTTAAGAATCCTGGTGGCACAATGACTAAGTGGTGGCCTAATAACTAAAAGGAGGCTGTACACATCTACCAGCTATTTCACAGAAGAAAGATATGGCAGTCTGCTTCTCCAATGATTTATAGCCTTGAAAACACTTTGGAGTGATTCTGTTCTGTTTTATAGGGTCACTATGAGTCAGATTAAGGAGCTCTGGTAGCGTAGTGTTTACAAATTGGGCTGTTAACCTCAAGGTCAGCTGTTCGAAACTACCAGCTGTTCTGTGGGAGAAAGATGAGGCTTTCTGCTCCTGTAGAGATTTACAGCCTCAGAAACCCTGTACAGGGTCACTATGAGTCAGAACCGACTCCCCGGTACTTAACAACAACAATGAGTCATATTAGATGGCAATGAATGGGTTCAGTTTTTGTTTCTTAATAGTTAATTTTGTCTAAACTAAATCTGACATTTTCATTGATCTGAAGCATCATGTGGGCAAGAGGGTAAGCCTTTAGATAATATTGCTGTTTCAAAAAAATACTGTGTAGTCAACAGGGTTGGTTGAGAGGGAGGGACACAGAGGCACTCACTGCTTTGCAGACACTGAACTGCCGTTAAGGGTGATGGGAATATCTGGAAGCAGATAATGGTGATGGTTGAACAACATGATAATCACAACTAATGTCACTGAATTGTACATCTAAGAAATGTTGAAAAGGCAAGCAATTTGTGATATATATACTTACTACAATTTAAAAAAATTGTGTAAAGGTGAAAAATGTCCATGAGCTTGTGTATCAAGCCTGAGTTTTTTGGTGATTATTCTTTTGTATGCCAAGAGGTTTGCCATCTTTGTTGTGCAGTAGTTAGGAGCTGTTTTTAATAAATTTGCTTGTCTCTGTTTGCAAGTACCCTTCAATGGTTATGCTAACTTACCATCATGCCTGACACATAGTAGATGCTCAATAAATATTTAATAAACAAATGAACCTCTCCTGTGTCTCATTTTTCACATCAATAAAAGCAAATAATAATGCCTAGCATCTATCTAAGGGGATTGCTAGCAAATCCAAATGATTGTGCAGGAATCTCAGTAAACAACAATAGGACTTGTTGTTGTTTTTGTTAAGTGCCATCGAGTCGGTTCTGACCCATAGCGACCCTGTATACGGTTTCCGAGGAGCGACTGGTGAACTTGAACCAACGACCTTGCAGTTCAAATGGCTTTTAAGTCTGGCGCATTAACCCACAATGCCACACCAGTTACTACCCCCAGAAATTCCCACAGAAGATTCCTTCTTCTCTCTTGGAATCTCCTGGGCTCAGGACAAGGTTCTCCCTACAGGAACCCTCGGAGTCCAGAGTGAAAAGGGCCCCTCTACCTCTTGCTCCTTGCTGTTTTCTCTGTCAGTTTGAACAGCTGGGAAAGGAAGAGTTATGGGAGCAGCCCTGGTGCCACATGAATCCAGCCAGATTCAAGCTAACCAACCATTTCCTACAGGTAGGAAACAGAGACATGAGTGGAGAGCGATTGGGAAAATAATGAAATTATCCAAACCAGGGATGTTTGTGCAAACAGTGGCCTTTAATATTGAGAAAGACCATGCAGAATGACAGGATAGGACCAAACCTTCAGAGGGTGGTGCTGAACCAGCCACTCACAGGATCATAAAACCTGATTCAGTAACAGAATAAATCAATATATGTACATTTAGGTTTGTCCTGGAAACCCAGGGCAATCTGAGGTCATCTATCCTGCCTCCTCCCTCTCTTCCTACCTCCTCATCACCTTCTTTCACTTCCTGATTCTTCCCCTGCTCCTTCCTCTTGCTTCTCCTTCCCTCTCTGTTCTACCACTTTTTTTTTTCTATCCTCCTTTTATTTTCTTGTCCATTTTTCATCTCATTCTCCCTTCCATTTAACAATATACATCTCCAAGCCCCATCAGCTATTTCTCCCCTGCCCAGGCCCTCAGCCCTGCCTCCCTCAGGTCTAGCCTCCGGGTTCAGGGTTGGGAGGAAGGCAGGAGGCCTCAGCCCAAGGAGCATTTGTTGGTGTTCTTCCTGTCACATGTTTTCAGGTCAGTGCTGGGGGACTTGTTGCTGTTTCCCTGGAGGGAGAAGGGCACAGGGGTCAGAGTGTGCATGGCTGGCTGAGGTATGAGGCTGTAAACTGTTTGAAGGGGACCTGTTGCACCTCGCCACAGTTTTTACCCCTACACACACACACACACACACACACACACACACAGAGTTTGTACTTAGCACAACAGAACAAACTCACCGATCTCCGACCTCCAGACTTGATCAAGATGTCCCGGGCTAGGGAACTGAAGGCCTAGAGGGTAAAAAGAGATTAGTCATCTCAGATTAGAAAGGAGGAGAAATCTATTTTACAATATTCCATTTTTATTGGAAGTCTCACCTCATCCACATTCATACTGGATTTGGCACTTGTCTCGAAAAATCTGATTCCGTGCTCCCGAGCCAGCTGCGGGAAAGTAGGAGTGAATTAAGAAGAAGACAGTTGAATAAAGGGCAGCAGCCAAGGCCACTGCAATTGGATCTCATCCTGGCTCTGTCAGCCCCATTCTAGAACATTGCCCAGCCTGGCCCACACCTTATCAGCCTGCTCCTTCTGCACCTTCCTCTTGGCCTCCATATCACACTTGTTCCCCAGCAAGAGGCGCTCCACACCAGCTGAGGCATTCTGGGGGCAAAATGGTGAGTGGGTGAGTCCTCCTCCTCCATATTCCATCCAGTTCCCATCCCAAAGCCTCCATCTCTGTAGGTGGCTTCTCACCTCTTTGATGCTCTTCATCCAGTTCTGAATATTCTCGAATGATTTTTCATCTGTGATGTCATATACTAGGATAATACCCTGGGGGATGGTGGAGGAAGCTGTGGAGCCTTGCACCACATTGACCTGTTTTGGCTTCTTACTGCCCCCTCCTTCCACTGCCCTCTAAGTGCCCTACAAGTTTCATCCATTGGTCTAATCACCAGACCCTGTGGGGGACCTTCTACAACCCATACTATGCCTCCCCGTTTTTCCCTGCCCCTTTGTACTTGAACCTACATTCTGTTGATCCATGCCCTCATCCCATATGTAGACCCACACTCTGTACCATGGCTCCACGGTAATAGGCGGTAGTTATTGTCTTGAATCTCTCTTGACCAGCCGTGTCCCTAAAGTGGAAGGTTTCAAGGGTTAGGATAGAGAAAAGAACTCTCCAAGGAGAGAATTCCCCTGAACATATTAGTTTTTGTAACAGGATAGGCTCAAAGGAATAGAATCGGGAAAACGTAAAAGGGAGGAAGGATTGAAAGACCTATTAAAATACTATCATCAAGCTTTAACCTAACTGACTTCATGTTTGTAGTTAAGACTAATTCACACCGTTTGTTACCTTGTTCCTTACCCCAGCCTCGGGAATTTTTATAACTTCTGTATTGCTCATGGACAGGTATATTATTACTGCCAACTAGACAATTCTGCCTGGAGGGTCCTCAAGACATAGAAGAAGATTGTTATGGTTGACATTTACATCTTGTGATTATTTTATGACTTGAGTAATGTAATACACCTGGAAAAGTATGGGGCTCCTCCAGAGTGTGCATTCCAGTGTAAAAATATAGAGACTCTGTTTTTTTCACAAGTTGTTGTTGTTAGGTGCTATCAAGTTGGTTCTGACTCACACAGTAACTGTAAGCACAACAGAAAGAAACACTGCTGGTCCTACGCCATCCTCACAATTGTTGTTACGTTTGAGCCCATTGTTACTGCTACTGTGTCAATCCATCTGGTTAGGGATCTTCCTCTTTTACGTCAACGCTTCACGTCACCAAGCATGATGTCTTTCTCCAGGGATTGATCCTTCCCTTGTGACACCAGACTGAGAGACGAAGTCTCTCCATCCTTGCTCCCAAGGAGCATTCTGCCTATACTTTTTTGTTTTTTTTCCTGTTAGTATGGGTATCTTTTCTTATGTTTTTACAATAATGATCTTATGCAGTATTTGTCCTTTTGTGACTGACTAATTTCACTCAGCATAATGTCCTCAAGGTTCATCCATGTTATGTGGTGGCTTGCAGCTACTGTGTTATTCTTCCAGGTACTGGCTAATACTTCTTGTTGATGAAAATTCCACAGGGAGATAAGTGACAGAATCAGGATTTGAAACTAGAGTCTATCTACTTTTATTTATCATGTCATAATGCCTCCATTAAGCCTCATGCCACTTAACCACTTTTGAGGTCTCCAACTTCCTGATGATATTCAAGTTAAATTTCTTGTTCACAAATGGGATCCCCGCTGGTACCACCCTCTAATAAAACTTCTCTTTTTCTCTATAACTGAGTTGGGTGAATTTGGCTCCGCTGCTCCAGGGCACGAATCCTTATTAGAGTAACAGGCTAATGTTGAAACATCTTAAAGGCTCAAGAAACAAAATCTCTCTTGTTTATTCATTGAATGCTTATTCTCTGCCAAGCACTGTGCATGTATCATTTTGTTTAATCATCACTCTAACCTTGTGAGAAATGTTTTATTGTCTCCATTTTATATATGAGGAAACAAATTTGGAGACACTGAATAACTAATGACCCACAGGGCAGGTAAGTGACACAATCAGTATTTGAAGCCCAGACTACTTTAATTTATGTCATCATGCCTTCAAGGTCTCCAGCTTCCTTATGATGTTGTTGTTAAGTACCGTGGAGTCGGTTCCGACTCATAGTGACCCTGCACAGGGTTTCTGAGGCTGTAAATCTTTACGGGAGCAGAAAGCCTCATCTTTCTCCCGCGGAACCGCTGGTAGTTTCAAACTGCCAACCTTGAGGTTAGCAGCCCGTTTCGTACCCACTACGCTACCAGAGCTCCTTTTCCTTATGATGGTCAGGGCCAGTTTCTAATACTTGATTTTCTGGGTGCTCCACAATTTAGGGAGAGCACTGAACTTGGAGTCAGGTCTTAATTATACTACTTGCCACTTAACTGGTCAGAACCCATTTCTACATCATTGTTGTATGGACATCTGTTGTCAAATTCAGAGACCCTCTGGAGCTGCTGAGCATAGTTGGAAAAGCAGGTAAAGAACTGGTAAGACACCTGAGTGAAAGAGAGAGATACAAATAGATGAGGAGACCTGTTGGAAGGAGACATGAGGAAAGGGAAGAGGGCTGTAGGAGGTAAGTGGGAAGTCTGATTAGGAGTCCTGGGGGGATTCACTTACCAGACTTGCAGTTTGATCTTCTTCCCCTCTATGTCCACAGTGCGGATCTTGAAGTCAATTCCTGGGGGTGGGAGAGGGTGTACACTGAAATTGGGATATGGTGTTGTTGTTATGTGCCGTGGAGTCGGTTCCAATTCACAGCGACCCTGTACAGGGTTTCCGAGGCTGTAATTCTTTACAGGAGCAGAAAGTCTCCTCTTTCTCCCGCGGAACAGCTGGTAGTTTTGAACTGCTGACCCTGAGGTTAGCAGCCCGAATCATAACCACTCGCTACCAGAGCTCCTTATGTATATGTAAAAGTGTGTGGTGGGAGGGATAAAAAATTGAGAGCAGTGGGAGTTACAGAAATTCTACAGCGGAGACACTTAGGAACACACTGCTGCAAGTGTGAAACGAGAGAATTTTCTTGAAGATATATATGCATAGCAAGCATGCTGTTTTCATTTAAATTTTTATGGATTCTTTTGGGGGAGAGAGATGATAATGAAAATGCCACAGGGAGGTGTAAAGCCACTTCTGGGTTCCACTCAGCAGATAACCCTAATTTAGTTTATGTCTTCCCCCAAAATATACTTTCAGATTCCTCTTCCCTTTGGTTTTCTTAGAACCCTCTACCCACCCTCCTGGCCCTAGGGGTAAAGAATGAGAAATAGGCAGCTGACACCAGTCTATGTGAATTAACTAAGGGTCAGGTTGGGAACCAAGAAAGTCTGAGGCTAAACGGGATTCCTCCAGAGACTGAATTAGGAAAGAGGGGCATTTTTTCTGTCTCCCTTCTAACACAGATTGTTTGGAGACTCTTCCTGTCTTATTTCCCAGGCCAGAGATGAAGAAGAAAGGATAAGAAGGGAGGAAGGGGAGACAATGCTCTCCTCAGTGGAAACTTGGACACCTCCCCCAAGCCTGTTGAGGCCCCATGGAGAGGCTGAGTCATCAGGCTGCGTCAGAGACCCCAAAAGTCCCTTCACCCCCACCCTCCTCACCAAGCTGGCTACATATTCATGATCATAACATAGGGCACACCTTCTGGCATACCCAGCCTCCTTGTTCCGTTCCACCCTCCCCAAGCTGACTGGGAAGTGGATGATAGGATGGGGATGCAATCTGAGAGTCTGAGGATCAGTGGGACAGAGAGGGGACTCTAACGGAATTGGGAGAATGATGTGGGGGAAGAAGGAGTACAGGGAATGTGGAGAGTGGATGAAAAGAGTTCTAGGTGGGGTAAGAAGACTGGAGAGGGAAATCGAAAAGTATTTACACACATTTGGGGAGGTTAATGTGGGGGTTGTCAGCAAGTGAAGAGTTACCAGAGGCCTCAGAGAAGTTAGAGATTTGGGTACCATCCCAGAGACGCGTATAGGGGGTGGGTTTTGGATAGGGATTGAGGGACTGGAGTTTGGGAGCTTCATTCTAGGGCCACTAGAGGTCCAGTAGCCTGAGGGTGAGGGTACTAGGGAGCTGGGGGTCTGGGACATAGCCAGTGGGCTCACCGATGGTGGAGATGTAAGTGCTGTTGAAGTTGTCCTCTGCAAAGCGAATGATCAGACAAGTCTTGCCCACCCCAGAGTCCCCGATCAGCAGCAACTTGAAGAGGTGGTCGTAGGCTTTGGCCATGGCGGACACCGGGGGAGCGGGGGAGGGGTGGGAAGCGCCGGGTACCGGTAGGCGGGATTGGAGGACTGGCAGGCAGAAGGGCCCCGAGCCCAGGCCAGGAAGAAGTTTTCCTCCTTCTCCGCCCAGGCTCCGGGAATTACAGAGGCGGCTCTCTCCGGGCCCCACCCCCTTACCCGACCAACCCTTTCGGCTGCCAAGAAGGCCAGCCATCCCAGCCTCCAGTTCTCCGGGCTTTTCCTTTCCAACCTAAACTGGCCTGCCCCTGCTATTTCCTGCAGTCGTTCGTTAACTAACTACCGTTCCCCTCTTTCGACATCACTCTTGCTTTCTGAGCTCAGGGAGGATGAGGTGAAGCATAGTAGATGTCTAGCCATGACAATCGGGGAAGAGGAATTTTAGAGGAATGAAATGAAGAAATTACATGAGTGACAAGGGCAAAGGAAGGGATGGCATTGGGAATGGACAAAAACTGAGGCTAATTATTGGAGGAGGTGCTCAAGGAATATAGACGCCTTCTGGGGCTGAGCAAAGCGCAGTGCTAGAATTCTGGCGTTAGTGTTCCATTCATAGTGCTTTATGGATTTCAATTTAAAGAAGTGGGAGGCTAGGATTAGGAGGCTATTTGTTGAGTCAGTCTGCCCTCTGGTGGAACAGAGTGTAAATTAAAACTAATTGTAATACAGAGTTAGAAATCAGCAACTGTTTTTTATTTTTTATTTTTGTCTATAATACAAATCTCCTCCCTCAGCCCCCCTCACCCCCCCACGACACACCTTCAACACAAATACACACTTTGATACACTCTGGGACTTCTTTTGGAACAGTTTTCCCTCTGGAACCCTATTTGTGACTTTTGTGAACAGACAGCACAAGAAAACAATGGTATGAAAAAGATTTGGCTTCATGACAGGGAGTTCTGCTGTGGCGCTGTAGGATAAGCACTGGACTACAAACCACAAGGTCAGCAGTTCAAACCCACCAGCTGCTCCTTGGAAGCCCTCTACCCTATTCACTATGCATAGAAACCCACTTGACAGCACTTGAGACAAGGAGTCCTGGTGGCCCTGTAAGATAAACACTAAACTGCAAACTGCAAGATGAGCAGTTCAGACTCTCAGGAGAAAAATGAGGCTTTCTGCTCCCTTAAAGATGTGTAGCTTCAGAGACCCTATAAAGAAAGGGTCACTATGAGTTGGAAATGACTCAGCGGCAGTGGTGTGGCACTGTAGGATAAGCACTGAACTGCTAACCACAAGGTAGGAAACCCTATTCAGAGTCTCTTTGAGATGTGGCACTTAACAACAGTCTTGACGCTGCACTTGTAACACAGATGGTCCTGTGAATGAGGAGCATTGGCTATCAGGAAACAGAAGTATGGAGCGTATAATGATCAAAAAACACGTTTCCCATGATGGTAACTGGGAATGATTGTAATGAAAAGAAGTGTAAAATGTATTGAATGTGGGACTGAGCAACTGCTCTATAAACCTTCACTTCATTCACAATAAAAAGGCTAAAAAGAAAATAAACAAATTTATCTTTGCCTTTGATAAAAAATATTCAAAATATCTGCTTTTCTAACAGTGGGTTAGTAGAATTATCTTGGTATAAAGATAATATACTGGTTGTGAGGAGAAAGGCATCTTTTGCCACTTCACTTATTCTTGTCAACGGCTATGTGTGTCCCTGTTTAGTCTCTTCTTAAACACAACTATTCAGTCCCCTTTTGTCCATTTACTCACATTCCATTATGTCTTCAAGCTGTATTACAAGTCTATTTCTCTTCTTGCTCAACGATCGCTCTCCCATCCTATAAGTTGTTCTTAATTTGCTCTGGTAAAACCCCATCAGTTCCTTTTCTTTTTATCATATTTTGTCTAGATCTGAATTTTTCATCCTCATTGATGTAGTATTCTTACTAACTTTCCCAAACTGTACTTACATTGGTTAGCAGCTGCTTTCACTGCAACTCTATCTCATACTACTCTACTCTTAGCTCTCAGAACTTCAGCTTCCCTGTTTGTTTTGTTTTGTTTTCCTCTCAAAAATACCATACTCATTCTGACCTTGGGGTCTTATGCTCCGGAGCTTTTTCCTCAGCCTGGAATGCTCTTTTCCTTAGATTATTGCATGGCTGGCTCCTCGTCTTTCAGATTTCAGCTTACATGTCATTTCCTCAGAGATTTTTTTGACCTACCAGTAGTGTCCTGGATTCATGAGACCAGACTGTGCACATCTTTTTTCAACTGTGTTTAGTGAGGTCATGTTGGTAATTTGAAATTGACTTTGGAGGGAGTATTTATACCAGGGAAATCAGTAAATATTATAAACCAGGACTTTGCACAGAGAATGGGTTGTTAGAACATTTATTAGCACACACCCTGACTGGGGACCTAGTGGTGCTATAGGATAAGTATTGGACTGCTAACTGAAATGTCAGTAGTTCAAACCCACAGCTACTCCTCAGAAACCCTATATAGAGTCATTATGAGTTGGAACAGACTCAATTGGCACTTAATAACACCATCAACAACAACAAAGACCCTAACTGGGATTCAAGTGCCTTGCCCTATCTCTTTCCTTTGGAATTAACCAGGCCTCCAATGTCACCTGGGTAATTTTAATTTCTTCCTTATGATAAAAGGACATTCTAAATCTTTGGTGGTTACCATAGAAGAGAATGCTTCCGTTTTCATCTGTTCAAGAGGGAGTCAAAAAGTACTTGAAAAAATGGAATTAAACAATAAGAGAGTTTTCCCATGAACTTTTTAAAAGTTGCATTGTGTGTTTCTCATTTACCGATCAACATGGTTAGGTTCCAAAGATTATGTTGTATTAAAAATGTAAGATGACCACGTCAGATCACAAAATGGAGTGACATCATTACATAACTGCTAAATTACATCATTACATGACTGCATAAGAACTGAGACTCATGGGCCAGCCAAGCTGACGCATGCATAACCTTAACCATCACATTGTTACCCTTGCCTTGCACACTGACATTGGTTACTGTCAGACATATATTGTTAATTCACAAAACAGTTGAATAGTTTGTATGCTGAGCAACCAATCTGAGAAGCTGGATTATATGAAGAAGAATATGGCATCAGGACTGGAGAAATATTTGAGTAAGTATGGTGTAAAAAATGCAACCCTGGTGCACACCTTTCATGGTTTTTATTCATTTTTAGCAATTCAGAATGTACAAGGGTGAATAAAAATTTATCCACACTCTAGCTGTAGAATTTTATTTTGACTTTTAGAAAAGACAAATAAATCATTTTTGACATAATATTCTCACTTTTCCATATACTTTGTCAATAAACTTTCATATTCCCTTATTTAAAAATGTTTTAAGCTGAGTTGCAAGCCATGAATGTACCACTGTCTTCACTTTTTCATCAGTGGTGAATCTTCATCCTCAAAGGGCTGCTTTCAGAGGACCGAACAAGTGAAAGTCTGATACAGCAATATCAAGACTACAGTTTTTGCAGAGTTTCAACAGTATGGGAAGAGGTGTGTGAACATGCATTGTCATGCAAGATCACAACTTGCTTGGATATCAGTCCTTTGTTTAATTCTAAATTTAGGCTTCAGTTCTTCACTGTAATGAGCACTGTTGATTGTTGAACGATTTTCCTGATAATGATCCAATACTGGCCCTTGAGAATCCCAGAAAATGGTAAGCATCAATTTTCCAGCTAATGGTAGACTGAAACTTTTTCTTGGTCAGTTTCCTGAGAGTAAAAGGCAGCTTATGGAATGGAAACATTCTCAATTGACAACCTGAGCTTCAAAAAGTTCGTGGAAAATTACGTTATTTTTTCATTCCATTTTTAGAAGAACTTTTTGAAGTCCCATCATATACATATAAATATTCAAACAAAACAGGAAAAACACAGCCAGGAGTGACTGGGTTTGAACCACTGACTTTGCAGTTAGCAGATCAACAACTAACCCACAGCACCAATATGAAATGTCAGATGAGACAGTTGATAAATGAGGAATAGCTGTATACATACATATGTTGTTGTTAAGTGGTGGTTGTAGGAGCAGCTGGTGAGTTTGAACCATTAACCTTGTGTTTCGCAGTCCAGCGTGTGGCATAGTAGGATTAGCACTGGACTGCGAAACACAAGGTTAATGGTTCAAACTCACAAGCTGCTCCTTGGAAACCCTACACAGGGTGGCTATGAGTTGGAACTGATTCCACGACACTAACAACAACAACAACACACACCTACTCTTCACTTATCAACTATTTCATCAACTGACATTTCACATTTATCACAGTAGTAAAAAAATCATTAACAACTTTCAATGTGCAGATGATACAACTTTGCTGGAGGGGGAGGGTCAATGACAAAGAGGACAAAATATTTACTGATGAAGATCAAAGACCACAGCCTTCAGTATGGGTTGTACTTCAATGTAAAACAGGGATGGAGAACCTTTTTCCTGCCAAGTACCATAAAAATTATAAATTTAAAAATTAGCCTGCTCTATTTGGTCAAATATTTAATTAACTCATCCCTAATGTGATGATTGGAGTTCTGGTGTGGTGCTGGACTACAAGGTAGGTCCGAACTACAAGATTGGAGGTTCAAACTCACGAGGCACTCCTTTGAAATGCTATACAGGGTTACTATGAGTTAGAACTTACTTGAAGGTACTTACAACAACAATCTGATGGCTGGAACTGCAGTTACCTTGGAAGGATCAGATCAAGTGATTTTGCAGGCCTGTGGGCAGATGCTTTCCACCCCTGAAGAAAACAAAATCCTCATAACTGGACCAATAAATAACATCAAGATAAATGGAAAAAAGATTCAAGTTATCCAAGACTTCTTTTTGCTCGGATCAACCATCAACACTCAGAAGTGGTGGCGGTGGTGATTTTGTGCCGTGGAGTGGGTTCCGACTCATAGTGACTGGATACAGGGTTTCCGAGGCTGTAAATCTTTTTGGAGGAAGACTCATTAACAACCTGCGATATGCAGATGATACAACCTTGCTTGC